TTAAATAGGGCACATGCCCCAAGATTTAGGGTTTCTGCCACCAGCACAGACTCGTCGAGTCACCTAGCCGACTCGTCGAGTCCATTCATTAATCCAGTCAGCGAATCGCGATCCTACTCGACGAGTCTAGGCGCCAACTCGTCGAGTCCCTCTCTTTAACTCAAAAAAATAAAATATCTGGAAATCCGGATGTTACAAGCACAATTCTCTTCTCTATGGACAACAATCGATTTACCTTTGAACAAACCAGACATGTTTTTTTCATTTTTCCCCTTTTATTCTTCTTCTCACACTTGCAGGGGCTGTGGAAGCTTTTTAATTTTGAGTGCTCTTTTCTTTTTTTCCCGCTGACTGATTTCATCATCCCATCCAATGCATTTATCGTCTTCATTATAATCTTCAATGGAAAAAACATCTTTGAATCTTGGTTGATTTTCTTCGACGGCTTCTTGGTTATTTGTCGAGCTTTTTGTGATTCAGAGGGTGTCGTCGTTGCATGTTTACTAGAAGATGCAGAAGAAATATTGTGGTTGTATTCATTCATCGGCTTCATTAATGAAGTTTTAGGATCATAATAATTTGTAGATTGTTGCAAGTTATTGGGTCGAATCTATTTTAAGCCCAAATCCGAGTTTGACCTTTTAGGGTTGTTTGACTCGCTGCCAACAAATGGAGACGTATCATCTGTCCTGCAGCGGATCTTGTACCCATGCGCATCTCGAATATCCTCGTCGTTATTTGAGCCACATATTTCCCGCTCCTTCGTCACTGGTGGAATTGGCATCACTGGAATTTTGGTTCTTTTTTCATGTTCATATCACACCGATTCATTGGACAAATTCTCCCGATCATCCTTGTCATTAGATTTTGCATCGCTGCATATTTTAGGAACTACCTTGAAAAAAATTTAGAACATATCTAATACTATTTTACAAACAAGAAAACAAACAAATAAATAAAATAGTGGAGGTCTTATACTTAAATTTCAAAGTAAATGGTTAATATTTTCAAAAAGGGAAAATTTCGTTCATATCCTTCCAAACTTTAAATATTACGTCAATGTCCTTATAAATTTTAAAATTACGTATACATCATTTTAAAACTATAATATTTACATCTATATCCAAGTTTATATTTTTATTTAAATTAAACTAATATAATATTAAAAACCTATATAAAATTCAAAATTATATATATTGTTACTAAAATACCTTTTTAAATAAAATATTATATATAGAAGTTTTAATAAGGATTAAACAAATGACAGTACACTAACTTCGACACCATTTCTTCAGCATGTTAAACAACTGCAGTTGATATAGCCATTGTTTTTGAAGGTTTCACAAACTACGTATCACAATTATGCCACTTGAGGTTTTATTTAGCGAGGATAAGGATATGGGTAGTTGTTGCCTTGTTGGGTGTGTATCTCATTTTTCCTATTGGATACGTGAATTGCTTTTAGTTGTTTTCACTTTTCAGTGCTACTCCTATAAAAAAGAAGAAAACAAATACACAAAAATGGTTACAATCAAAAGCTGAAAATCAAACATGATTACAAAAACAACCAAACAAATACATAATCGTTATAATTCTGAAAAGAAAAGACTCTTCGTTGTAGGATAATAATGTTATTTATGCATATTAATGTTTAGACAATAAGTGGTCATGAATCAAAATGTTTCTCTGTATATATAATGACGAATGTGTTGAAAAGTTTAATTAGTTGTTTAACAAGATTAATCTTGATTAAAATGGTTTAAATTTAATATTTTATTTAGAAATGGTATTTTAGTAACATCATATATAATTTTTAATTTTAGACAAGTTTTTTAATATTATATTAGTTTAATTTTAGTTAAAATATAAATTTGGATATAGATGTAAATATTATAGTTTTAGAATGATGTATATGTAATTTTTAAATTTATAAGGACATTGACGTAATATTTAAAGTTTAGAAGGATATGAATGAAATTTTCCCTTTCAAAAAATATTCCACATCGAAGATAAAGAGAAAGAGCTGAAGTTGTTTGATGTTATAAAAATGAATGATGAATGGAACACAACTCCTCTTGTATTGTTAGTTTTACAAAATAATTGTTGCAAGTGGACTTTTGCAAAAGAAAAAAGGCCTTGTTTTGCAAAGTAGTTTTATTTTTATTTTTATTTTTTTGCAAAAATCCGGTTTTAGGGGTAAAGTAGAACCGTTTTTACTAATTTTTAAGGTGTTCAACTGGTTAGATTGAACCCAAGTTTTTACAAACATTCGGTTTTTGTACTGGTTCGACCCCACCCGGTCCATCACATATATCATCAATTCTTTGGCTCCTTCATTTAATTAGGAAGCACGTGTTTTTCTATTTTAGATTCGTCACTATCGTTGGTCTCAATAAATGACTTATAGCTAACGTACACTCTTAAATTTATTATGTGGCCACTAGGCCTAGGTTCCCACAAACAATTATGCACGATAATCCAACATGAGACGTTTAACGTCTAATGCACAAGAACGATAAAGCAAGATGCATTGGATTGTTCGTAATATTAGGAGAGCCAAAATGTGGAGTATATCGAGTATTTATACTCATTATATTGATAAAATAGATAAATTTCATGAAAATAGTGGTTTTCAAAAGTTGAATACAATAATAACATGTAATTTTTCAGATGTCAATTTGGCAAAGATCTTAGCCAACCAAAATCAGCTCCAAACTAACCAAATCAGCCACACATCGACTGTATAACTTCCACGCCGATGGTTTTTTCATCTTGCAAATGTATATTGTACATTATTTAAAGGCCATGCCAACATACTTCTTTCAACAGATAGAGGAGTCAGACCTTGCAAATCCCATGGATTAGACCTACAAACATCAACTTCAACAAATGATGGGGAAGCCACAAGGCGAGATTGAACCTTGCATTTCAAGAAGTGTACCACAAGCTCTTCATCAGTCGGGAAGAACCTGAACCCTAGTGGTAATCAGAGGCCACCATTGTTAACGAAATTGAGCTTTTCCTTTTCGAGATTTTGAAAACTTTAGAAAGAAAAAGGGTGAATTTTTTTTTTGTTTTGGTAAGAAAAAGTGTCAGAGTAGTGCTTAGATTAATCCCCAAGGTTGTTGACGGGGCATACCTCTACTAGGCTACAAGGGTTGCTGACGAGACTACATGTCATCATTTTCTAACCTATTTGGCATATCTAACCGGTTATAATGGGTTGTTTACCCAAATTAGCGAGTAAAACACAAACCCCACTGATGTTTGACTTTCAAATCTATGCCTTCATGTTATCCCCTTGACACATAAAGGGGGCGTTGTCCTTTAACCTCGTTATTCATCGTTTATTCATTGTGGTTGATACCAAACTCATGTTTATATAATTATGTATTTCACACCATCTCACAAGTTAACACCATCCATAACTCTTATCCATTCCAAATATACTAAGATGATCAAATGACACCAAAATCACAATGAAACGATATATATTAAAGGGTATTTTGATGTTGGATAAAAGAAACAAAGATCACCAAAAAAATGAAACAGAAGCCAATTGGCATTATTGCTCTCAAACGTTGATTTTTGAAAGAACAATAGTTAAAATGGTTGTCTTAGACCATCTGGTGTACATTGAACGACCAGGCTCGTGGCCACGAACTTCATTTGTGCACACTACCCCGGTCATTTGTGGTCGGGCGTTTTCGTGATGATCTGTGATCCGTACGACGGAACTAAACGCCCAAGCAGGCCCTTGATCCATTTCCAACTTTACTAGCTGTTAAACGGCTAAATTTTCTAAAAAAATAGTTTTTAAAACAACATTTTTACCTATAAATACCCACACTATACATCCTTATTTCTTACACCATTCTTTTCTTTCTCTATACACGATATACACACAACATTTTTCACAACCAACAAAAATAGATGCTAATACCCACCCCCCCCCCCCCCCCCCCCCAATAACGTTTTTGCGTTAGATACAACCTCCCGCTACCTATCTAACAAACACCACTTTTCCAACATTTTCCGACCTTTCAACAACTCCACCAATTTCAACAACAATTCTATCCACAACAATCACAACCACCTTATTCGTCGAATTTTATTTCGGAAACACAATCTTCACCACCACCACCTCAACCAAAAAAGAAAAAGAAACGGCTCGACCCCCTACCCAAGAAAGGGTACCATGGATAAAAAAGAAAGAAGAAAAGCTAGCAGAGGTGTGAGTTTCAGCTTCCCAAGACCCAACTAAAGGAGATAATCAAACCTTCAATTGTTTTTGGGAGAAAGTTCGAAGTGTGTTTATGCGTTAACGGGAAGTAAAAGTCGAAATATCGATCAAATTAGCTCAAAGTGGTGAGATATTCGACTAAAATGCACCGAATTTGAAGGAATTTACAACAACCTCCAAAACATACACAAAAGCGGGTCAAACGATTTTGATGTCTTCAAGGCGGCCTTATTCAAGGCGGCCTTAGATCAATTTGAAAAAATAACGCCAACCCGCAAAGCTTTTTCGTATGTGAAACCGTGACTAAAATTGAAAGACGCTCCAAAATAGAAAGAGCAAATGGAAGGAACTTCACAAACCTCTTTCGGTTCAAAACTTTCAAGAAACCCCGATGCGACTTCCCAACAATCAGGTAGACAGACACACATCGACATCAACGATGATCTTGAAGACGAGCAACTTCTTCGTCGACTCTTTGGAAGAAATAAAGCAAAAAAAACGGCTTCGACGTCTTCACAGGATCTATTGTTATAGAGCATTTTGGAGACAAATTTGAACGATATGTGCAAGTTCAGCTCGAACTCGAACGGAGGGTCACCATTGAAATATTGTGGTGAGGTTTCCGCTAAATCTTTTGCCGTTTCCAAAAAAATATGTGAACTTGTTCATAATAAACACCCAACAAAGATTTGTAAAGTTAATATCAATTGTGTGTTAAAAAAAAAAAAAAAAAAAAAAAAAAAAAAAAAAAAGTTTTGAGTGATGAGTGCAATTCTGATTTAGGGCCATACTTTTGACTTTTGAGACATGGCATCAATCCAATCTTTCATGTCCGCCAAAACAAGATCCGCAGCCTCATCAGGCTCACCATTGATCAACGAATGATACATTCCTTCATAAAGCTTCAACGTTTTGTCCTCTTTAGCAGTCACAGCTTTCTCATACAACATCTCTGAACCAGTATGGCACGCCAACCCATCCGCAGTGCCATGAGCTGTAAAAAATGGAACCCTAACCTTCTCGAAGTTGTTCTGTACATAATTCGTCACCCTCACCACCTCTCTCATCGTCCCCACCCTCGGTTTTCCGGCATATCGTTTCGGGTTCACCACCAGTATCTTCAGTTTCTCCAAATCCTTCACCGCCTTCACCGCCATTTGAGCAGTTGGCATCGCCGCCCATGTATCTGCCAATCCGAAAAGTAGTCCGTACATCGTTATATGTAGCTTCAATCGCAAAACCACCACAGTTAGAATCGAAGCAATTTGATGAATTTGAAAATTCATGACTAATTGATTTAAACAACAAATCATAAGCCCAAAGACCCATTGACTTTTTTTAGATCGGTAACGAATTTGGAAATTTGCCCAAAGTCAAACAATAAAAATCAAGTGCAGATTTGAGATCGGAGGTTATTTGAAATTACCTTGGAGGGAATCATGCCTTCCGGTAGGACAAATAACGGAGACAAGAAGATCAAGCCGGACCATATGTCGGGATCAGATTGGAAGTACATAAGCATTGTGATCATTCCGCCCATTGACTCCCCCAAAAGGAACGCCGGTAGATTACAGTACTGTTCGCTACGGCGAACACTAACGAAGTATGATAGTGAAGTCGCGGCTGCTTTATCCATGTCTCCGATGTATCCATGGAGTCCGTCGGAGCGACCGTGACCAAGGAGGTCGGCTGCGAAGACGGCGTATCCCCATTTGGCGTATGCGATACAGATATTTTGGAAAACCCAGCTGGTGTCGGATGTGTAGCCGTGGGTCATGAAGACGGCGGCCTTAACTGGTTGGTCTAATGGCAGCCATGATTGAGTGAAGATCTTGCCGTTAGGGGTTTCGAAATAGGATTTGGAGTTACTGACGCCATGGGATTTGTAGTATTCTTCCTCAGGCGTTTCCCCCCAGAAGAACGGTGGTGGCGGTGGTAGTTGTGGAAAGCCCGGCGGTGGAGGCATAGTTAGTGGCGGTCGTCGTGGAGGATAAAAGCTCGAATTCGTGGAATATTAGTTGACGCTTTAATCTATGAAAAAGGTTATATTATAAACCATTTTCTTAACTCTTTGAACTTCAATGGCGATTATTTTAACAAAATGTTTGATGGAATTGTCGATTTAAACAAAATATTAACAACAATATCATGAAACTAAAAACTACACAGGTAACCATTTTTTTAGGTTTTTTTTAATATAAAGAAGTTTTTTTTTTTTAAATAACCTTTTGGTCCGGAATAGGTTATTTCGGAACGGAAAACCGGCTCAAACCTAATATTGTAGCTCATTGGTATATATATGGGTCTCACATATAAAAAATTCAAAATACACTTTCCGGAATTAGCAGATCCGAAGCACGATCTACCCGCATTTCAGACCAAATTTTCAACATGGATTCATCAAACCAATTAAGTTTTACACTTTAAGTTATTTTGCATTTGATTTTTTGAAACAATTTACGTATTTCGGAATGGTCCGGACAAAGAGGAACAACTTGAATATCCAGATTATCCTTTTTTTTACTTTTTCTTATTGTATGTGTATGAATGTTATGTAAGTATTTTATAATATGTTTCTGATCGGTTGTTGTAGTCTGGAATTACGTATTGTAGGGGTTCCGGAATGGTAATGTAGGTCTGAAACACGATGAACGTTGTCCGGAACTTGATCATCTATTCCGGAATGATGATCTGAAATACTTATAATATACATTTTTTTTCTAAGTATTTTTTAATATCTCATGTTAGTCCAAATACGAGTTAGCATTGATGTTGTTAAAAAATGTGGGTCTTACGGACGACGAAGTTGTATTCCATTTACAGAAGCTTTGGGAATTTCGTCCGATAAAGGTAAAATTGAAAAACAATAAATTTATAATTATGATTTATTTTTACGGTAATGTATTAAAATGTTCTTGGAATTTTTTTTTGCAGATAAAAAACGACGACGCTGAGTTTCAAAATAAGATAAAAAATAAACCAACAAAGGCACCCATAAAATTAAAAAAAAAATTATAAAGGGTGTTAAAACTTAAACTGAAAGCAGATAGAATTTCGAAAGATGTCACCGTAGCAAGTGCAGACAACCCTGTTATGGTAGACTAGTTAAAATTATGTTTTTTTTTGTTATGAATATGTTTCAGGAATTGTTTTTTATTATTATTAAATATTTTTATGCACATTGGTTTTTAAATAGTATATTAATATAATTTAGGTATATCTATTTTCATTCTCCAACATTCAGTGACTCGAACGATCATGATGAGTTGCCTATAGAGTATGTTATACCACGTCTTGAAGACGAGCAACGACGTCTTGTTGATACGACTGCATTAGAAATGATTCGTGATTATCAATGTGCTAAACAATGAATGGTAATACTGGAAATCTCATTACCGCCTTCACCGGCTGAGGACCGGAGAAAAGTAGCATTGTATAACATGCAAAATGCTCCTTATTACCATGTCTGAAGATATAAGACAATTTGTGAACACAATAAACATCATCGAAGAAACACATAGGATAACTCCAACAATAGAAGATCGAGTCGAATTGACCGATAATGGTTTCGAACTAACTGAGACCTACATAGAATTGTTTGAAAATCATGTAGACACGGCTAGTTTGCATCGGATGTAAGTTCTCAATTATCGGCCACAAATGTAATCTAATTTTAAATATGGATATTGTAATGTCTTTTCAAACTGAATTTTGTAAAACGAACGGTATGATTATGTAAACTAAAATGACAATTATCCTTTTTTATTAACATTATTGCAAAGAGTGTTATTTAATCTAATACATACTTAGATTGGTTTCCACAAATCAGGAAATTGTAAGGGATACATATTTTGTTCCCGGTCAATAAAATCTCCTCTAATTCTAACAATATCTATTAAACGGTCCCATTCTGCACGAAGCTTATTGATCTCCTTATTTTCATTTTTCAATCCACTTCTTAGTTTGTTTCACTTCTTTCATCGCTTTTGCAACCCATTTTTTTCATTTAATTGTTACGCTAGATCGTCTGCACGTTGATTTAGTGTGCAACTTCTTTCAGAGTCCCTTTCGTTTGCTTCTTCAGCAGCCTTCATAGCTTGGAAACCGTCATCAGGCATTTTATCCGAGAGTGAGAAATATGGGCCTTCCGGAAACGGGTTATTATCTAAACAAACATAACAATCTTCTTATTCACAATGTCAAACACCATCGTGATATGAACCCATTCCAATTTTATTTCAACGTTGAGGATTCATGTTGTTGGATTAGGTGTCTAAGCCATAACTATATTTGGTATGTACTTGACCCGGTTGTAGCATGGTCCTTTTGGTTTGCCTTCATCAAAGCAACTTGACTGGATGAATAATAAGAAAGAGGTTATTATGGTTTATTAATATATTATATGAATAATATATTAAAGGCGAAATCATATTTATTTAATTAATATTGGTCAAGAATTAATTTAGAATTAATTTTGTGGTCAAAAGAGATTAATTAAATTAAGGGGACTGATATTGTAATTATGTGATAGTTGCAATATGGGCTGAGGAACCCTAAGGAAGGGGTAGACGAATTCTATGTGGGAGCCCACATAGAAATCGTCCAAGGGGCCTTCTGGAAGGATCCTTTGGACTGCTTAGAACCTAAGCAATCTAATTAGGGTTTTGACTGAAACCCTAGCAGCTCACCTATATAAAGGACCCCTAGGCTTCACAAATTCGGCTACCACAACCCTAGAAGGATTCAAGAGCCAAAAATTACCTCTCCCATCTCCCTCTAAGATTCTCCAATTGTTTTTGGTGTTTGTGATTCATTAGAGGCATCACATTTGAGGTGTTAGGTTCTCAAAAGCTAAAGATCATCAAGCTACAATCAAAGGTAATATCTTAACTCTTCATTAGATGTAGATTTTGATTTTTGTTGTATGCTAGATTAGGGTTTGAGAGCTTTGGATGATTATTGCATGTACAAATAGAAAAACTAGATCTACAGCTTTAGGGTTTGCATGTGCACCATAGGATTGATGTTTTGCTCATAACCCAACAGTGGTATCAGAGCATAGGATGCTTTTTCTATTGTATTTGATGTTATGTTTAATTGTTCAAAGCAAAAGTTCATCGTTTTTTTTTGCTTCTGCCTCGTGACCACGACGTGGCATAGATTGCCACGATGTGGTGGCGGGTCAGAGTGCAAAATTTCAGGTTTTTGGCTAAGTTTGGATTTAGATAATTACTATAAATTATTTTTATAATTAAAAATCGTTTTTAGCTGTTATGGTAATACATATCTTAATCCAATTAGAAGATAATTGTCATAAATAAGATAATTACTTGTTTTCTATGATAAAGATTAATTATTTGTATTTTGATTTGAATTATCTTGTCAAGAAAATAGATTAGGTCAAATTATGTGATAAAGATTAATAATATGATTAATTAATTATTTTTCAAATTTGATATAAAAGTTGTTTTGAAAAGTTTCAAAACTTGCCCTCAAGTTTTGGGATTTAAATTTTTGATTAAAAGTTTTAATTTTGAAATACTGAAATCCTAAACCCTAGAATTTTACAAGTTTAAAATTCAACCCTTATACTATTATATTATTATAAGATTAATAATTATATATATATATATATATATATATATATATATATATGTATAAGATTAAGCTAGTCTTACCGTTAGTAGGCCTCATTCACGAAGCCGATCTATAAGGGGGTATAAGGTTGTTGCCTATAAAATGACAGTTTAATGGGTGTTCACTCTCACCCACCGCTTCCTTGATTAGTGGAGGGTCGTTAGCCGAACGGGTAGAATAGGGCAACTAATTCCTCATTAATAAGTATAATGATTTATTAAAGTAACTAAATGTTTTTATAAAATTCTCAATCTTAGTTACTTTAGGAAAAATGTGAAATGATGCTATTCCATGAAATTACACTTTGCACCCTGTCAAGTCGTTAGTGAAGCGTGCGTGGATAACCGGCACACTAATCTGGGACTAGCAAAGGTGGCAAAGGGTAATTAGATGTTTATCATAGATCAATGGAGCGTGTGTGGCTAACCGACACATTGATTAGGTGGTAAATGACATCGAGAGTACCATGTACATTTGCATGGTTATTCACACCTTGTTTCTGATCCTCGGTATCCCAATCACAAACTTGAAGGGCATATCGAGATTTAAACATGTCATTGAAAAGTTCAATGAATCTCAAAAGATCTAGGAATTTCAATACATTTGAAACTTAAGTGTCTTTTCGTTTTTCATGGTGGAAATTGGTAAATCGTCATTTAGCTACCTTCAAATTATTTGCAATTAGATTACGGCATCCCTCTTCTAAATTGTAAATAATTGTGTTGGGTCCTAGCCCTAATTTCTCATTTTGGTGTTAAATTGGGGATTCTTATCTAATCTAAACTTTGTTCCTTTTCTATTTAAGATGTCTACTTCAAACAACAACAACGCTTCTGGCTCGACCCCTTCAAGGTCATTCTCACTCATGAACTTGTGTGGGAGGGTGATATTCGATGGGTCCAATTTTAACGATTGGATCCGCAACATTCGCATGGTCACCCCCTACGAGGACAAAGAGTATGTTCTCGACAAGGAGCTGAAAGAGGTTAATGTGAACACTGCCACTCCCGAAGAAATCGCTGCTTACGAAACTCATGAGCGAGATGTTACGAAGGTTCATTGCATCATGCTCGCAACAATGACTGCTGAACTCCAAAAGTCCTACGAGGACTACTATCCCTACGAGATGCACCAAGATTTGATGGAATGGTACCATCAAAGTGCTAGGCAAGAACGGTATGAGATCATCGTTGCGATGATCACTACCAAAATGAAGGATGGAGAGTCCATCACGGCCCACTTGTAGAAAATGCAGAGATATGTGGACCGCTTGCTGAAGTTGAATGTCAACTTCGATGAGGAGTTGGCCATAGATATCATTCTATACTCCTTGCCTCCTTGCTACGACCAGTTTCGTATGACCTACCACATGAACAAGGAAGATGTCACTCTAAGCAAGCTTCAAGGCTTGCTAAGGACTGATGAGAGTAGTCTCAAAGGCAAATCTGTT